TGAGGCGACTAACAGGTTGTATAGAGGGTACAGCAGACATGATGGACTGGGCGGCATTGCACGCTCGTGACCGTGGTGCCGAGACATGGTGGAAGTCATTCACCACTGGCAAGAGTGCTAAACTTCTTGGTGGTATTCCCCATGATACCTACGGAATGACGTCGCTGTCCATTCGTCAATACGTTCTCGGAATTTACAAGCAGCTTGGGCTGCGGGAGAAAGACATCACGAAGGTTCAGACCGGTGGTCCTGGTAAGCTGCATCCCTAATCTTAGGGGCTCATCGTTGACACAATGTTTTGCAGATGGAGATCTCGGTTCAAGTAAGTTGTGATACTCATGTGCCCTGTGGACTGTGTCGACTAATTACCCGGTAGATGAGATACTGCTGAGTGCGGACAAGACCGTTGCAATCATCGATGGCAGCGGTGTCCTTGCCGACCCTGCAGGTCTCAACAGGGAGGAGTTGATCCGCCTCGCCAAATTACGCTCGACCGTGGCTAACTTCGACAAGACCAAGTTAAGCAAAGATGGGTACCTCGTCAAGGTCGAAGAACAGGACACAAAACTACCCTGTATGTTGGGCTTTCTTAATAATCGCTATTATCTCACACTTTGCTCTTAGCTGGAGAGATCATTCTTGACGGTACGGATTTCAGGAATGGCGCTCACTTGCGTTTCAAGGCAGATCTTTTCGTTCCCTGTGGTGGACGGTCAGTTTTTGCATCATTCGTGCGAAACTTTAGCTCATAACCGTTCAGCCCCGAAGCTGTTAACATCTCCAATGTTGCTGGTTTGACGGATACAGAAGGCAAACCCCACTTCAAGTACATCGTCGAGGGTGCAAATTTGTTCTTCACTCAACAGGCCCGATTGCACTTGGAGAAACGCAAGGTTATCTTGTTTAAAGATTCCAGTACGAACAAGGGTGAGACTACTTTTGTATCACCTTTTACATGTTGTTGACCTTGCGGCAGGTGGTGTAACCAGTTCTTCGCTTGAAGTCCTCGTTGGCCTCGCCCTCTCGACGCAGGAATACGTGGACCTCATGATCTTCAAAGACGGCAAGCCCTCGGACTTCTACCGGAACTACGTTAAAGATATCCAAGCAAAAATTTCCGAGAATGCTGCTGCAGAGTTCCACTGCATTTGGCGCGAGCACGCCCGCCTCCAAGGCGCCAAGCCCCGGACGCAAATCTCCGACGAGCTCTCGGGCAAGCTCAATGACTTGCAGGCTGAGCTCGAACTTTCTGACTTGTTTGATGATGTCCCGAGCCGCAAGGGTGTCATGAGACGCGCTATTCCCAAACCTCTTGTGGATCAAGTCGGTCTCGACACCCTGCTAGAGAGGCTTCCTGAGACATATCAGCGTGCTCTGTTCTCCAGCTGGGTTGCTTCGCATTTCGTGAGTTTCAGCCACATCCTTTTTCCGCTGTCTGATCATCCTCACTGCCTTCACCTTCAGATTTACAAATACGGAGTCAACGGTTCCAGTGTGGACTTCTTCCACTTCGCTAGGGATCTTGCGCGGTGATGATTATTTCGGGACACTTGTGGATGATTGCATACTGTACAAGCCAAACGACGATAATAACACCGCCTAGGATGCCTATGGTTTGTTCAAGGTTCAGATCAAGAGAGATATTTCCTCATAGCACAAAGGACTAGTATTGTATATAATTCAACGAATGTGACTACACGACCCCAAAATAACATGCGGATGGAATCCAGCCTACCATAACATGTGCCAGACTTCCGTCCACCCTCCCGCCGTCGCCCTCGTCCCCACTTGCTGGGCCGAGTGCGAGTCGTTATTGTGAGTGGATGCACTTTGATTTGGCGGTAAAGTTAAACCGGAAAGCATGATCAGGGTACGGACGGTCAACAGCCAGATCTATGTACATGGGGCACTGCTGTAATTTGGAGCGGAAAATTCAAATCGTACATGCTTATGCAGGTAAAAAAAACAATACAGACTATCATACGGCCGTGTCGGCTTGTAGCCTGGACCTATAGTAAGTGACACTGTCTGAACATTCCGAGCCTATTCATCCACTTCTCGCTGGAGTAGTTTCGTATATTGTTTGATGCGTCTCCAAGCTGCTTGCTGCGTGACCGGCATAGACGGTAGCTAGATCTATGGTATAGGGATCTTCATCGGCTTCTTCGATGAGTCTGCGTCATCAAAGAGGCGTGTATAAAGAGCATAATACAAAGCATTATCTTTGTACGTCGAGGGACGGGCGTACCAAGTAGCATTTGAATTCGCGTATGCGCTCTCGTTTCTCTCTCTCATGGCAGAAATAACGATGGCATACTAATGCTATTTGACGATGTAACGTTGGAGGATGGCACATGAGAATGTCCACGATGCTCGTGGGTGACAATTCGCACACAGGGTGAATCATTGAAGTTTCGATGGTCCAACGGACTCCGAGTCGGACATTCTCAATGATTGTGGGGATCGCAAACAATTTCAAATGTCATTTCAAACGGAGAAACTCAGTGCTAATGGAGATTCATTCACGCTGGTTCCATAATTGGACCCGCCAGCCCGAGATCAGCCACCTTGCACTACGCGTACTACACGCCCTCAGGTATTGGATCAGTGACGCTTCCTTCAGGCTACATGTTCTGCCTACACTCTCACCATCCACGCTGGAGTTCTACCACGAGCCAACCCTGCCAGACTGACTGGCAGAACAGCCAAGGTTCACTCACAACAATCACTTATTAGCAACGCGCCTTTCTACAATGTACATTGAATCCAGAGTTGTCCCGTCAGCTATCCTACGTCACCACACACAGACTATGCGTTTCTCCTTCCTTGTCATTGTTGCTGCTTTGACAGCATCTATGTCTGTCAGTGCATGTAGTCCGTTTGATGATGTTTGTTTGAAAGATAAGGATTGCTGCGCCGGCATTTGCCACATTGATAATGTGAGTACTCTGTATCCAGTATTTAACTCCATGACTGACCTTTGCGCGTTATTATAGGAGGGTGTACTAGTAGGGTACTGTTTCTAAGTGTGATGGCTTAGCTGACAGCCTGGCTCGCACGTTACGTCAGTAAGTCGTGTTCCTGCTTTCGCACTAGTGCTGTGGTTGATGCAACAGTGCCCGTAATTCGTTGCTTAATCGACCAGGATTTGGCTTCGGGACAATTTCACTGCCGCTTGCGAAAAGGCCATTGGACAGGAGGCTCAAACATTCAATAATGATTCCCGTTATGTTAGTAGTGGGTCTTATATCTTACTACTTTCCACTTTTTGTGGGATCAGACCTTGGTGGACGAATTCGAATCGGAGGTAGTGGCGGCGAACTCAGATTGAAGAAGGTGGAGATGACCTCTCCTTCAATAAACGATAGCATGTCTGCGCAAAGTGATAAATGACGGGCGTGCAAGATGTTGAACGAGTTCTTTTCAGCTATAGGAGAAAGGAAAGCGCGGACAAAAATCACTGATCGTCGGATTCGTCGGCGTACCGGAACATAATAGAAATGTCGTGGTCCAGAACGCTCCGTAGTACAGCCGTAGCACAGCAGTTCAAGATTTTCGCCCACCATCATGTTATTAAAGATCTCAGGCGAGAACATTTGTCGCCTGGGTTTCGGATTTCGGGGGAATTGTATAGCGTTTTGTGCAGGTTTTAATGACATTCCACTTGGAGGACCCCTCACAACCAAGGTACCGAATGATCATGATGTGTTTAAGGATTGGACTGGATCTCCCGCTCGTGCATGACCCCTATAGTTCGTCTTCATCGCCGGCCAGTAAGCGTGAGTGCACTAATCCGCGGCTGCACTGGCTTGAGCCCGATTTAGCGCTTCCTTCCTCATTCTAAAGAAACGATGGTGTGCATCAGTCTCTGCGGTTCGCCTGTGAGTGTCTTATGTTCTATTAGGACAGCCGTTCGTAATATCAGTAGGTCAAGCCCTTCCAAATCTGGGAGGAGCTATGGGATCTCTGTCTTGTTCGGGGCAGCATTTATGTGTCGAGCACGCTTGGTGACAATTCAGCTGAGATCGCTGAATTCGTCATGAATCATTTGATCAGCGGAGACAAGTGTTAACCCCCGCGACATTATTATCTGCTGTCTGTCGTGAATGATGTATACTAAGTAGTACACCCAGGGCTCTCCAAGTCAGAGACGCCCGAGTGGTGTATTGGGTCCAACCAAGCACGAATGAGCCAGAGTGCATGGAACAAGACATTGCTTACCGTTGGCAGCACCACGGTCAGGTTTCACAGTCGTCGCCTCTCGTCAGCGTCGAGAGCAATCTAAAGCCATTGGATTATATCAATTGAGATCAGTTACTCGCCTCACTGAACAAGAGCCTAAGCATGAGGCGAGCAGCTGCCAGGGTGACTATATGCGCAATTCTTGCTTCAATATAGTGAAATAATCATCTCGGACTAGATGAAAGAATGCACCTCACCATCGTCAAATCATTTAGATTCTCATGCGCCCGGGATAGATGAGCCGCGTACAATAACGAGAAACTTACAGGCTGCGGGTATATAAGCTAATGAGCACTTGACGAAACTTTTAACAAACTCACCTTGAACCGACTGGATTCAGCCGCGCCGGCAGTTCGAGAGCTTGATGGTGTGTGCCATGATATAAGTTAACAAGCAACAATAATGCCGGTGATAACCTTTAGTTGCTGAGATTGAATCGTGCCGAGCGGCTGACAGGCCCCCAGACTTGGACCCAGACATTTCTCCCGGAGTCTGTGACAGACTCTGCGCCGAAGTTTCCATATTTCTGTAGAAGGCCCCTTTCTCGAATACTGCAGTTGCCCAATATGGTTGTAATCGAAGTTTGAGAATGCTTAGACCAAGCTTAGTCCCTCCTAATAGTCCTCCCGAAGTTCAATACCTCCAGTCATGCCAAAGCCGCTGATATGATGAGACTACATAAGTGTCGTCAGTAGTGGCAAAAAATCAGTCTATCGGAATTCGATATATATGGAACCAGCGGTCAAATTAGAAAAAGACTCTCTGGCGGGGAGTCGAACCCCGCTCTCCCGCGAACCACCATTCTATGAAATTATGACAGGCGGGTGTACTATCCGATATACTACCAGAGACCTGTTCGTCAAGCAAAGTGTACGTTACTTATCGGGCGCCGGGCACAAAGTGTATTCCGTAAGAGGCTTGGCTGTGTTTGCTGGCACCTCTTCGAGGAGACAATTGAACATTCAAAGACAAAGGTGCTTGGATACAAAATTGAATATTGGTCCATATCTGTTCACAAGGTTTTTGTTTCCACTGACCATCTTCGTACCATTGTGATTGTCGCTAATGCTTTGGCGGTGGGCTCTGGCGAGAAGCAGAGTCTTAATGTCAAGGTCCACATCGCTGTGGCCGTTTGTCGACGTTATAAATTGCGATTGAATCGTATTCTTCACATAAAAATAAAGTACCCTCCTCATTCCCTAGCCATGCCAACTTTTGATATTGAGCTCATGACACAGTTCAACCAGCTCTTTGAACCTCCGACGTCTTCGTTCCGAGGCGATGAGTGTTCTTCTGAACGATGCTCAACTTGCCTGGGACAGTCGGAGGCAAGCACGCCTGATCGACACATGAATGAATCCCCCTGCAGCAGCAGTAGTGGGACATTGGTTTCCGAGGAGGACTTCCAGGCTCATAAGCTCATGGATGACCAACTCATTCAACCCCCGATACCAGGATCTACCAAGGCCCAGGAGACCGTGTCAGATACCTGCTCTACTCACATATTCTCACCGCAACCTAGGAAATCCGAGTTCAACCCGAATGCTGCGCCATTCGTTCCTTCGCATTCCACCATCCTTCGTTTGAAGTCTTCATCTCCCGCTCCAACCCTTGTCGACGTTAAGCAGACATGGCAGGAATTACTCCCCCTTGGCTCATCGACAACCGAACCCAATCGACGACGCCATTTCGCGCGAGCATTGGCAGTCAGCAATCCATGGACATTTGATGCACTTTGCGAGCTCGCTCAGCATTTCTGCTGGATCAGTGCAGACTACGAACACACTGGGGCATGCCCTGGACCGACGGCGCTATTTGCGCAGGACGTACGCGACGCAGTGACGTCCACTTATACCGCGTGGGAGCCTAGCTGCTTCACATTCCAGCTTAAAAAGTATGCATTAGAGCACTTCAAATCGTACTGGTCTTCTCCTGTACGTAGTTTCAATGTTCCTCCTGATGATTATTTACCGTGACATACTATAGCATAATCCGAACGCTATCTCATCATGTAGTAAACCTGACAATACGCAGTGCAGGTCCGCGTTTAATTTGTCTTGCTTCATAGCAGATATGTTTGTATTGCGCCTCATCGACGCACCAACCATGCACGAGTGTCTGGGGATTCTTTTGCGTGAGATGGCCGGCGTTGAACACGTGTTTACCATCCAAGCTATGATTATTCGTGCGGGCGCGAGGTTATGGCAAGGAGCCGACAGTCATTGCCTCTTCCGGGAATTCACCACCTGTTTCTTGGAGCGCAGCAGCTCATTGCCGGATGATGCAAGTATTACTGGACTAGGAACATCCATACAGGAAGTGATACAGGTGAGCATGATGTCGCCACGCAGCTGTTATGCAACTATTTACTATTCACTCTACAGGCTGGCAATATTAATTGGATGATCAATGAATGGCATGCACAGCGTTCCGAGTACCCTTCGCCTGTGATTAAATCTATCTGGGCGTAATTGATTTCAGATGTACTGTGGCGTAGGATAGAGTTCTGGTAATTTATCCAAATGCCCTGCTAATGGAAATGTTCCCCTTCCTTGGTGGTGTAGTACACCCCAATGATCTGACTCTCAGGAAATAAGAATACTTTGAATCGATGGCGGATTCAGTTATGCAGAACCGTATTTCCCGATTGAAAACATGTTTTTTTATTTCACAGCGCGCAAATACAATTAATGTTTATCCTGTTTTTTTTACAATGTTCCTTTGGAATATACCTTAGAATACTTCCTGAGTGTTTTTTCTCGTGTTTTATGAACTTTCATCATTGTAAATTTACATGGTACATGTTCATTAGATGTTCTTTGTAGGTTTTGTGACTCATCTGGATTTCCGCGCTATGTTTATTACTCGCTTAATCACCTAAAGCGCATGATCACCATCTACCTTTGGTGTTGGAATATGGGCTCTAGCCCACGAGGACGTCTGGTGTGTTGCGTTCAATAGAGGGTCTAGAGGGCAAATTTCCCACGAAGCTCCTCCCGACGGATTGGGCGGGAGCAACGCCACCGCTGCCAATGCGAGATATGTGTGATAGGGATCTACGAAGATGCTTGTTTCAAAGGTATCACAAGGTGCTGGTAAGTCACATACCAGGGTGCTCGCCGGGAGTCTTTGCAATCCCGCCGTACTTGAATTGACAGGATGCTATAAAAGATGACATTGCTGCTTCGTCAACCAAATCGCCTGCGTCCAACACCTAGTACAATGAGACACAAAACGGATAATTAGCCACTCGTCCAGCTAACGGAGCGATGAACTGACATGTAGCGATGCGCCACACCAGAAACAATAACACGCGTCGGCGTCCTTGTTAGTCCGTCCACGAAAACCGCCATTAGATGCTTGATTTTGAACAAGCCACCGTACAGTTTTTTGTCGATCTTGAGCAGACAGACTTTCTAACTGTTTCGATAACTGGAGTGACGCCAGTGCACAATATGTAGTGCCACCTGATGGTAGGTGTTGAGATTAGGTCATATCAGAAGGTACAATGCACTAACCCAGGGCCTCCCCCGACGGTGATTGCCCGTAGCCTCCTTCATATGTCTTAATAACGACTGTTAGAACAGCCTCATATAATGCTGTCGTGCGCTTACGCGGCACGAAGAGATGAACCGAAGAGCACTTGAAACGTCCATCCCTGACCAGTCATCGAGCATACTGCTTATGGAGAAAGCAGAGAACGTTGTGCGTAGATCAGAATCCCCTCCTAAAGGCTCAGAAGAGAAACTAGGGCACTTGGTTTATGCATTGAGTGGGCTAGCATCATGTAAGACTTACCTTCCATCGCTGTTCTGACAGGACCTGAGAAATTCCAGGAGCCCCTTCCTGTCAAGGCGCGAAAAGTTGTCCCGTAATATGGACAGTGAGAGAAGGGCAGTGTAAGTCATGATGATATGAGGGGTATTATAATCCGAATACTCCTCTGTCTTAAAATAGGAGATTAACCATGTTCTACCCGGAAGCATGGCCCGATCCTCACCGCATATTTAGTTGCAGTCATATAAGAGCTTGGTCGGAATCCAGTCCCATAAGGTCCGCCTAGTGGAATGTGAGTTTGTCTGACGACAGCATGCATATTTGATGCCATAGTTGGCTCACGAGTCTGTTGGGTCCATATCCAGTCCCTCCAGTGTTCTCTTTCCCAATCCTTGGACTTGGCCTCGAGTTCGCCGGATAGATCTAAGAAGCCTAAGCAATAAAAGGACAGCGCCATTCTGTGAGACTTGGGTGAGAACGGCTGGCACAAGAGATCAGCATTGAATTATGCACTTGGTCGGATCAAGATCGACTTGCGAAGAGGGCAGGCCGGATAAGCATCTTTTGCAATGCGTTGCATGACCACTTTTTTTCAGCGGAGGTAAACTTGTTGGCGACATTGTGATCCTCGAAAAGGAGACCTTGCTCAGATCGGTGGAAATATCCCTTGAGCTGAACGTTAGAAAAAGTAGGCGTTGCGTTGGTTATGATGCACTCGGCGGGCCGCTTCCGAGTCAAGTACGGTAGATTTCCTTTCATGGTAATATGCAAACTTGGACGTTTCTTTTCCGAACTTCGTTGCAGCTTCAAGACTTCGAATAACAGAGCTAGGAGATATTTGTTGCTATACTCGTAAGATCTTCGAGCTCCAAGAGATGAGACCTCTCGATGCAGTCACACAATTCTTTTGGCGAGTGGTGCTGATTCATAATTCAAAGTGAGCCGGGACAGATTCGAAAAGGCAAGGTCCTAGAGTTTCAAAATCACTCATGCCGCCTGGCATACGTTATAGTTGAGAGTCGACGGTCATCGAAGAGTTGCAGAAACTTGTCACTTATTGCATTCGACCACACGCAACCTAAACAGTATACGGACTTCTGGGATGTTGTTCTAGTCACCGTGTCTATTTCTGGTATTGACATGCTGGTGGAGTAGGGTTAATCTCGTACCGGTTGCCAGGCGTGCACCCTGCCACCTATTGCAAAATGGAAACCACCACATGCCAGTGGTCCTTCGATACTCAATTCATCGAAATAATGACTTGCAGCTTCCAATGCGTAGACAATGTGGCGGCTCCTCTCGCACTACTAATGCATATTTCAAGCACCTGGCTTGAAGGTCACAGTAAGTGTTGCGCAATAGTAACGTCATATCTCGCTAGTACGTCATCAGCGCATTCTGTCTTGGACCCGGACAGGTGATCCATCTCAAGTCTTCTTTTAGGTGTATGGAGGATGAGGAAACTAGTCCCGCAGGGGGGCAAAAACTGGTTACAAATTCAGTGACCTAGTACTGACAAGGTGACTCTATTCCTTCTATACTCTATCAAGTGCTCTAGTTTCTTACATTCTGTAATGCCCGCCTCCACCAACTAGTTGCAACTTCACGAGTCTATTTAAGTCCAGATATAATCATTCCCGCGAGAGATCCCGAGCGAAATAGAAAAAGTCTATAGTGGAACTGTTTACGCCGTACTTGTATATCTATGTGGAGGTGAGGCTGGACAGCCAGCAGAACAAGGAGCCAAAACTCACAAAATGTGAAGCAACCCAGCTGGAGAATAGAGCGCGTTGGTATGTCTCGGGAAGCCTTTCCAGGATGGTGTCGAGACCGACTTGATCCACCAACGTCTTTGGAATGGCACGTCTCATGGCACCTCTCCTACTCGGGATATCATCAAACAAGTCAGAATGTTCAAGCTTGGCCTGCAAGTGGTTGAGAGTGATGGACAACTCGTCTGATATCTGCGTCCGGGGCTTGGCGCCTTGGAGGCGGATGTGCTCTTGCCATATGCAGTGGAACTCTGCTGCGGCATTCTCACAAATCTTTGCTTGAATATCTTTAACGTAGTTCT